CAAATTGAAATTGCACAAGTTATATGACTCCAGTGATAATATTGATACTAGGAAGAAAACAAGACAGATTGTGTGTTAAATGTTCTCGGCTCCAAACAAGTTGAAACCTGGTCCTTTTTAAAAGGGAAGATGCCTTAGACATCGGTGTTGTATAGATCGTGTGATGTGCACCCTCAACACTCTGAGTAAAAGGGCAAAGCCCACAATCCTGCATATGGTACGATATAGAATCGACTGGATAGAGAAATTGTGCACGATACTGATAGTAGGACAGCAAGGCACGGCTGCATGCAGGTGAAGGGAATTGATTCAGGGTGCCTACCTTTCTTTTTTCTTTGGCACTAATTCAGGGGCCTATCCTGCTAGTGGCCAATTTTAGTGATCTAAACGCTTTTATATTAGTTTACGGAGGGAGTACTAGCTGACGATGCCTGCCCTTTCCCAATTTGGCTCTTTCATTGTAGTGAACAGTCGTCTCGAAAGAAACAAGATATAATAAGAAAAATAAAAAAGGACATATGCTCTTGGCCTCAGAGGAATAAACCCTCTTTGGACCTCATAGTATATGGGAGGCCTTGTCGTCTCATGCGTTGCATGATCATCCCCATAAAACGGCCTCTCGCCCAGAGGGAAAGCTTGCCATTTTCGTTGAGTCTCACTCACTTTGCATGCCGTCCTAGCTTAGCAAGTTTTCCTTTGGATTGGACATTGTGGTGGTGGGTGGTGGTACGAGGAAGAGGATGGGGCGGGGGAAGACGCAGATGAAGCTGATAGAGGACCGGACGAGCCGGCGGGTGGCCTTCTCCAAGCGCCGCAGCGGCTTGCACAGGAAGGCTTTCCAGCTCTCCGTGCTCTGCGATGCCGAGGTCGCCCTCATCGTCTTCTCCCCAGGCGGCAGGCTCTACGAGTTTGCCAACGCCGGGTAATTGTATTATTTTTTTACCACCCCGTCCTTCCTACTCTATGTTCGCTTGCTGGCGAAAGAAAAATGTGCCCCATCCATGTAGTCATGGATATTCGCGCCAACTATTTTAGCAGCAAAACTCGCTACTCGCCCAAAGCCCTCTGCAAAGAAAAAGAAAAAAGAAAATTTGTACTTCCAGTGAAATTTAATAATAGATCTAATCCTTTTCGCAAAAAAAGAAGCCCTCTGCACTCCGCCGTCACACTACGTCCGTCTCGTTCTATATATCTGGGACCGGGTGCACTCCATCCATTTTTCTATCACAATGCACAAACTCAGGCCACCACACACAAGGTTTATGGCCTCTTTGATTTGCAGGATTTTAAAAATGTGAGAGTAGGGAAAACACAGGATTGGAATGTCATGCTCATCTCAATCCTACACAATTTTGGTTTGTTAGATTGCATTTGCATCATAGGAAAAACAAAGGATTCTTTCTAAGAGATTTGAGTGGATGCTAGAAATTCTATGAAAAGTAATACATAGAAATACTTAGGAAAAATTCTTATAGGATTCAATCTTATGAATCAAACAACCAGTATAGAAAAAAATTCTAAGGATTCTAATCCTCCAAAATTCCTGAATCAAAGGAGCGCTTACTGAAGACTGGGTGAGAGTTGCCGAGCTTTAGAATTGATGTATACTTCTCCCAATGAAAAGAGCAGATAAATCTTTCTCCGTACGTCCGGTTATTGCCCCAGTTTGAGCTAAACTTTAAACAGAAGGGCCTCCAGATGGAAGGACGGTTAGTACATCTAGGCTACTCATTTCCCTATGGCCTAGATTCTTTAACCAATAGGATAATCTGGGATGGAAGGAAAGCAAAAAATATAGTAATATATAGAATAATAACCAAATGCTACTGGCCAGCCTAGAATTACACGGGACGCACTAATGCTTGTCACAATAGCTTATCTTGAGATCGTTTGCCGTGTAGGAGTACTACGTGTTTGGTTATGGTTGTTAACCCTGAGTTAATTAACTGTTTATAGAGTAATTAACTGTTATTGTTGTTGTTATTATTGTATATTTTACATCTTAAATTTAAATTCAGCATGCAGAATACAATTGGACGTTATAATGAGACAAACACAAAGGATAGTACTAGCAACCAGGTACATCAAGATATAGAGGTGCATAGTCTGTGTTTCATACACATAGTACTCCCTCTTTATTACTAATATATAGTGCATATTACTTTTGTCTTGCTCAGCTTTTTAAGCTTTTACCAAGTTTGTAGAAAAAGTCATCAGCATCTACAATACCATTAGGTTTATCATGAAATATTTTTCATATCATATGTATTGGTATGCAAATGTTCATATTGTTCTCTATAAACTCAGCCAAACATTACAATTTTTGACTTCAGAAAAATGTGATATGCACTGTATTTTGGCATCGATTGATAGTAGTACCTTGTGGTTTGATTTTAAATGTGACAAAAATTTCAAAAACGCTATGTGATCTCAACTGCAGAAAATAAAAGCTGATGCAGAGGCCTTGTCAAAGAAGCTCGATGCTCTTGAAGCATACAAAAGGTAACAACTATGAGAAATGAGACTATTCCCTCCGTTTCAAAATAGATGACCCAACTTTATACTAAAGTTAGTATAAATTTGGGTCATCTATTTTGAAACGGAGGGAGTACTTTTTATGCGCTACCAGCCAAATTATCGGTTGGAATCCTCTCTATACTGTTGAGATGCAGGAAAATTTTGGGTTCTAATTTAGAAGAATGCTCTATTGAAGAACTGCAAAGCATAGAGGACAGAACTGAAAAAAAGCCTTCTTAGCATCAGAACAATGAAGGTTAGCAAATTCTAACTCAGTCCACATGAAGTTTTAGCAATAACGAATCCATGTGTGATTTAATGATACACAAGACAGGCAATGGAATCTTACACAATAGCTAATGCGACGTAAATTCTTAATTATATTAGAGCAAGTATAATAAGGTGACATAAGCAGATTATAAGAGTTGCCACATCAGATTTGTGGTTAGTTTTTTTTTTGAGGCAAAGATTTGTGGTTAGTTGGAGGAGGGAGAACAGAAACGGGTCGTAAACTTGCATCAAGCTACAACACTGGCTCCAAAAAGCTTCGTGAGAGAGTGAGGTGTGTCAAGTACTAATGTCTTTTTTCAAAAAGGATGTTTAACCTGCCATCTTTGCATCATTAATTACTTAGTATATGTATATTTATATCTAAGTGCAAAGGTAATAGAAACTTAGCATGCTACCAGTACCAGTGCAAGCTTAATGCTACTCAATTATCTTACATGTCAGGCTCGGCGGTTGGAAGAGCAGCTCGCTAAGCTGAGGCAGAATGTGGTGAAGTTGAGCCACCACAAACAAGAACTATATTTCCAGGTAAAGATGGACAATGAAATTGCCTTCAAGAATGAAACAACCCAACTCTGAACACATATCATGTCCCTCATGTGCATCCCGGTCGAGATCACCACCCATCCATGCATCTAGCAAGCAGCTCAACTAAGTGTAACATATAGGAGTATAATGATCTGTCCACTGATGGGCTTGCCCTCGTTAACATGTGCAGTACCAGAAGGAGCACCACCTTGCGATGGCGGCGGCAGCCTCTGCTATGGCAACCTTCCCAGACGACGATGACCACCACGACGTCATGGATGTGGAGACGGAGCTATTTCTTGGATTGCCTGGCTCAAGTCGTTCATAAGAGAGAGTACATGCTGGAGAAAATGCTCAGAATAAGCTGGAAACGTCTCCGTTTCCAGCCTTAGCAATAGCAGACAACGAATGAATGAGACACTAATAAAGCCAACCGTGTTATGTTACCATAGCTGTTTTTGCTTCTTACTTATGATTATTTTCAACGTTAAATGTTGGTCGAGCAAAGGAAAGCACCGAGGCGTTCGCTTCTCCGAGCGTGCAAGCGGTTAGGAAACTAATCCTGCAAGTAGTATCACAGTTGGATCCGGCTTGCCTGCTCCCTTCTCATACTCCCATCCGTGCTCTCACTTCATCCTACGGTTGTCTTTTTTCCTTTTTTCTTTCTAATCTAATCATCTCCCCCCTGATTTTAAGGGGGTGGGGCCGGGCCTTATTTTTTAAAAAAGGTTCATGCATTGAAAAAGGTTAATGAAATTGAATAAAATTTCGCCAATTGAAAATATCCTACAATTTCAAAAACTATTCGTGACTTACAAAATATTTTATAGGTTCACAAAATGTTCACAGATTCAAAAGATGATTATGCATTTTAAAAATATTCAGTAATTTCAAAATTTGTTTCACCAATTTCCAAAAAAAATTATTGATTTTTCAAATGTTTGCCCTATCAAGAAAAATATTTCTAAATATCTTCACAAGTTTCTAAATTTTTTGCCAATAAAGTATAAAATATTCATGCATTCCAAAAATGTTATGAGTTTAGAAAATGTTTGAAAATCTATAAAAATGTTTATGAATTTCAAAAATATTCATGATTTCAGATATGTTCTTGAGTTCAAAAGAATGTTCATGATTTCAAAAATTGTTCATGATTTCACAAAATGTGAGTGAAGTGTATCTCGGTGATACGGCAAAATGTGATAATAGCCATTAAATATTATAATTTTTTTCTTCCGTTGCAATGCACGGGCCATTCTGCAAGTATTTAGTAAAGAATCTATAAAGACTAATTTGGTGTTCGGAGATGTTAATAGTATATATTTCTATAGTCTTGTCAAACGTAAACAAGATTTAGTTGATACAAATCCAGAACTTCAATTATTCTGAAACAAAGGGAGTAAGAGTATCTCGAGCCGTTGGCCCCGAGGGGGCGCCTAAAATCGCCCCCGGGATGAGCCGGCGCAAAACATCGTTCTGGGGCCGAGTTGGTCCCCAGCTGCCGGCCCAGGGCCGTCTTCAGGCGCGTTTAAAAAAATAAAAAATATATAGCAAAGTTCAAAATTCGGCGAAGTTCGGCATATATTACATTTAAAAATCAGGTTTTTATTATATAATATATATAATTAAAAAAGAACTGGCTAAAATCGGAGTAGTCGCCGTCGTCGCCGCCGTCGTCGTTGTTCAGCTTCTCCTTCTTGACGCGGCCGTCCCTGATGGACCCCTGATCGACGTCGCCTATGCGGGCTGGTGGCGGCGACGCGGCGTCGTCGTCGATGTCGTCGATGACGATGATTCCTCCTTCGTCATGGCCCTGGCGGCGCTGCGCGAATCGCCGTAGGGCGGCGCATTGGCACTCCCTCGCCATCTTTAGAGAGTCCGCGCGCGCCCATTCTAAGGCCGCCTTGTCGTCGAGCTCGACGTCGTCGCCGTGCTCTGTCTTCACTGCGGGGAGGCCCGGCTCCGTCTTCACCGGCGCCAGGCCCGGCTCCGTCTTAGGCTTTACGAAGCACGGAGGAGCCGACAAGGAGGCGCGCCGGCCGCTCTCATTGATGACAATGTCGGCGCTGCGAGTGCATCGGCCGAGCGGCGTCTCCGCCGCGGGCTCGGCCTTGACGTCGAGCATCGCCGGACGAGTGTAAGAAAGAGCGGGAGGAGGAGGAAGAAGAGAAGGCACCGAACCTCCTGGGCAACCATTGCCTGTCGCGTCGGCGGTGAGCCGTGGCCGTGGCTGCCGCCCTCGCCGAGGGGTATGCCAACGGCAGGTCGTTGCCGCCTTTGAGGTACGTCAGAACGCCCTCGATGGTGCGGTCGGGGACACCCCACCACAGGTGGCATCCCTCGCTGTTCTTCGGCCCGCCCATCACCGGCGCGCCCTTGATGGACGCCATCCTTTGCTGATGCCGACGTTAGAAGCACGCCGTCCATGCCGCTATGTTGTCGGCGGCATACTCGGGAAGGGCGAGCTGGGCGTCGGTGAGGGAGGCGTGCACGACGTCGACCTCGTCGGCGAAGTAGCCCGGTTTCGCCACGGCATCGGGCAACGGGCAAACGGGCACTTCCCCGTTATTGAGTCTCTACCCTGTTGGCCCGACGCGCATGTCCGACGGCGCCGAGATGTTCGCCTGGAATAGGAGCCAAGACTCCTGTTCGCGGATCGAGCGGCGGCTGAAGCCGTTCGCCACGGCCTCCTCTTGAGGAATCGCTCGGCCATCGGAAGAGGGAGGGAGGGGGAGGGAGGGCCCGGCGGCGGCGCTCAGGAGAGGTAGACGGCGGCCTAAGGCTGGTGTGGCCAGAGGTGAGGAAGCCCATCGTCTTATATAGCGGCGCCGCCCCGTGTGTACGCGTGCGAGGAAGGAGAGGCGTCGGCGCGCCGCCCCGTGACGCGCCGTCCGTGAGGAATCAAGGATAAGGCTGACCGGCGGCAGCATTGCCATTGATTCCCCGCGGATAACCGAGGCGTTCAGGGACGAAGACGTGCGGTGTCACTGACGCGGCGGGCCCACGGCTCTTTCGCGCCAAAACCGCTCGCCTCGGCGCCCCGAGCGCCCTAACGTGTAAGGCCTTTCTGGGGACGCAGCTCTGGAGATGCTCTAAATAGGTAAGCAAGCAAGTGAACGTTACAGAATAGCTTCACCTGTGATTTATTCTTTCTACTCCACTAGGGAGGCAGGGGCAGTAGTAACTAGCTTACTGAAACTACCGAGCACCGACTGATTGCTGGAGCTAAGTAAGCTGCACTAGTAGTTCTTGATGCTGGCGTTGACGTCTGCGTTGACGTTGGCCATGTCGACGGCGGCGGGCCTCTCCACGTCCTCCATCTCCTCCTCCCGGACGAACACCGCCTGGTCCAGCACCGACGCCGTCCCACCCACGCCTCCGTACAGGTGCTGCGGTGGGGCGGGATGCGCGCCGCGGCCGTGGGTGTCAGCGTCGGCATCGGCATCGGCGGGGACGAAGGCGCCCGTGTCCTGGCCGGCCGAAGACGCCGCTGACCCCTCCGTGGTGGCCGCCGTGGCACCTCCGAACAGGTGCGGTGGAGCGGCAGCCGAGCCGCCGCCGTGGGCGTCGACGTGGGCGGGGCCGAAGACGCCCGTGTCCTGGTCGGGCACCCACGACGCGTCCTCGCCGCCGTCCAGCGCGCCACCGATGGTCTCGTCCGGCAGCACCGTGGCGACGTGCTCATCCTCGCCCTGGAGCACCTCGACGTTCTTGCGGTTGAGCGCGGCCTCCACCTGCGCCCCCGTCATCGTCGCGCGCACGTCCTTGTACTGCTCCTCCTCCCGCCGCGCGCTGGCCGTGGCCGAGGAGTGGTTCATGCTGGCTCCGTTCCTGCGAGCACACAGACATGACGATGCCGCCATGAATGACCGAGAGTTCGACAACAAGCAGGGTAAATAAAGCTGAGTAGTTAGTTACCTGCAGGAGGCGAGAAGAGGCGCCGTCCTGGTCCGGCCGGCCACCCGGCGGGCGGCGGCGGTCAGTGCTCGCGCAGCCATGGTCGAGAGAGGTCGATGCGGCACCGGCTTTCCTCCTCGCGAGCTCAGTACACAAGATCGTGAAGCAGAGTATGTGTGTGTGTGTGTGTGGGAGGGAGAGCAGAGCACGTGCGGTGCGAGCTTATCCACGCGGAGCTGAGACTTGAGATCGGGTTCTCTTCTTCGTCCTGTACCTCGACGGATGGGCGGTGGCTTTATTAATGAGTTACTGCCCCCGAGGCAAGCCCGGTGCAGGACGAGTAGTGGTGCGGGGAATGGCGTGTGGACACGCGGAGTGGCGCCATTGACGAGACAGGGGAGGGAAGAGACGATGGTCGGTGATGGATGCGGTGGACGGAGACGAGCGGAGACACGCGCGCTGCTGCATGCGACCGCCCTTTCCGTCGGAAATGGACACGCAACAATGGCCTCACAAAATTCCCGCATATATTCCAGCAGCAGGTGCTTTCCAGTGATGTTTTTGACGTATTTCCGACAAAATTTTGGGGTTACTTAATCGCCATGCATCTCTATCTCTTCTCTACTAATAAACAATCAAACATAAACTTTTATAAACGCACCCCACAAATATACACGAACCCATTACCATCGCAGGATTAGGCCCATTAAATTCAATCCAACCGCTAGCCTTGATCTAATCGGTCTTTTATGTGCACTTAGCAATTTACCTTGAGTGACTCCGCAACCTCTCTTCCGTGATTAGCGCACATCTCTCCACTCAACCCACCGCATAACAAATTCCACGCCCGAGTCCTCGACCCCTACAATCACGCACGCAAGGCAACTAGCGGCCATCAAGCAACGAAACAAACCCAGAGTATGAGGAGACTTCGTTCTCAACCGCCGCTGAGATGGATTTCTTCAAAAGGGCCGTCGGGGGCGAGAGTGGAGCCATGCTGTTGGTGATGAACCGGAGGGTGCGGCGCTCAGCCCGGGACGGCGTGGCCCTTGTCAAGCAGTGATGGCGGTGTTAGCGTTATTCCTAAACGTACGAGCAGCGACGGCGGACGACTAATGGTTGTTAACGATGGCAGGCGACGGCGGCGTGCTCCGTCCGGCGGGGGCCGGGCGGTATGAGGATGGTCGAGGCGGTTCACCGTGGAACTCGGGCTCTGCGGACTGCGGGCATGGCACGGCCATGAAGGCAGCGGGTCCTGGGCATGCCTCGCGCGACACGACGGGCAGCGGGTGGGACGCTGGGGCGATCGCGAGAACGCGTATATGTGTGGCCAGGAGGCTGGCTCGGCGCATCAGCTGCGCAGGCGCATGGCAGCGGTAACTGACAGCGCGCTCAACAAGAGACCGGCGGCGGACATCGGTGCTGGCGACGGCGGCCAGCGCGCGAACCAGCGCGTCGTGGCGACACGCACGGCCAGCATGGCCAGGGTGCCTTGCGGAGCAGTGGCTGCCCGACGAGTGGTGGCGGTGGGCGGGCGGTGGCCAGCGCGCATGGGCGGCAAGCTTGGCGACAGCATGTGTGTGGTGCGCAGGCCAGCTCAGCGTGAAGCACACGGGCACGAGGTGCACATCCGACTGCTACTACTTCACTACTGTATTTTGTAGTTGTTGCTACGTCTGGAACGAAGTAAGCCTCGACATGAGCTTGGTGCTGAGGAACGAAGTCAGCCTCGACGCAATCAAATGACTCCTGACTGCAGAGCAGTGCCGTCAAGAAGTCAATGGTGAAGTGCATTTTAGGTACAAAAGTCAGGTTTCAGTTGCACAAAGTATTGCTAATGGTGAAGTGCATTTGTATTATCTGCATTTTTATTTGAAGGCAATACTTTGTAAAGTTTTTCACTGCCCATGTACATATTTGCAACTTTTTCTAATAAAACCAAAGTTCAGATTATATTTGGGCAGCCAAAACTGAGGTTTATAAAGTACCCTGCCCATGAGGCCAACATGCTCTCCAACGTATTCACATTGACGCAGAGATGGAAGGAGAAGTCAGCGTTGCTGTGCAGCTAGCGTCGGGTGTGGAATGAGATGATATAGAAAATGCGATGTTTTGATTGTATGCAACTTGTTTTCTTATTTTTCACCTAATTTCCAGTCTTCTTTTCTGTTGCAAGATATAGCATTTTCCTTCTCACCACTTCCCGTATGAACATATTTGAAAAGAAGCGGTGCTCTGAGTTGGTGATACGGTATTGTCATTACTGCATAATAAAAAGATACGGTATGTTCTCATTTACTTGTATTTGTTCTTCCATACTAACAGAGTTGTTGTCCATTAGAATTCTCTGTGTTCTGTAATTTAAAGTCCTGCCATGGAGTATGAGGTTTGAGTACCGTAGCTGTTGAACTAAAGTTAATCCAGCTACAAATAATAAAGTTTCGATACGAAGCATGAAAATAGCTAGGTTCCTGTTATGAAATGAAAATGCTCTATGGTTTCCACATTTTCATTTTTATATGTGAATCTTAGGAAGTTTTCATCTTATAGCGTGATGTACATCCATGTTATGCATCTGCATTATCTCTCACTGAACTGGTACCTCCACAATGACACCATAGTACAAGTTACTTACTTACGAACAACCATGTCATGGGTTCATCTCCCATGTCGATTTGCTTTCCTTGATGGTTGCATGTTAGAACTCAATGTTGCAAAAGAGGTTTTTCCCTAACAAAATATATATATTACTTATGTGGAAAAACACCTTGCTGTATAGAGAAAGTGGAGAAGTGATAACTACCCTTGGTGCTTTGTCTCAACCTGGCCAATGCATGCAAATGGTTGATTTTCTCTTGCAATAACATTGTAAAATATATTATTTCTATTTTTCTTGTATATAAGGATCGAGCATGGAGGTTTCATTTCTACATACGAGTGTTTATGACATTCCAACTTTTGACATCACTATATTTTTTATAAGCCCAACACCTGATTAAGATCTTCTTTTGACAGTTTTTGACATCACCAACTTCTGACATGTTTTATAACCAACTTTTGATATCACTGTATATTATTTTACCATTGTATAGCTTGTGCACATTCGAATCGGCACATCTTGAACACGGGTAAATATGAACCCTCTTTTCAAAAATGTACTTTAAACACATTTTGTGATGTCAAAAAATTAAAACAAAATTGTGTGCATACATGTTCGCAAAAATATGTCCATAGGACAAAGTTTATAAAAAAGTCTTTTATTTTGTCCCAGCAAAAAAGACAAATTTTAGTACTTCTAAATAGCGTTTCGTGACACAATATTTTGTTGCACAGGTCACAAAAAATTGTCTTCCCGTGAAACTTTCTCAACACACGTAGAATATGGAGATGTCCACACGCACCTTTTTTCTGAATATTTTGACATTTCAAAATGTGTTTTTCAAAGTGGGTTCATATGTATCCGGATTCATCCATACACTTCCCATGCATATTCGTTCATATTTCGGTATATCCTTCGCAACATTGCAAAATCTATCTAAAAATATGATTTAAGAAGATGCGTCTAGGTATGATCTAATTAACAACTGTGTTTATTTAAATAATTGTTTCATGACTAAGATGTACAAGGAAGTTTACTTTTACGCACGACATTCGTGCGTTGCATGTGCACGCTTACTAGTTGATCTAAGAAACTGAAACATACACGTAGTTACACAAAGGAAAAAAAAAGATCCATGTAATAAATATTTTGTATTACTACACAACTATTAGCAAACGAAAAACTCGTATTACACGGCCTAAGATTACGAACAATGAAGCAATGGACAACAAATAATTACTAGCGACACGTGTTTTGTGACCAAAGTTTCCAACAGATTTCAGCGACCTCAGCCTCATTCGTCGACGGCAGCATGCAGATGCTGTCGAGCTCATGAAAAACCAACCATCAAAAAGCAAATCACAGATGAACAAGGATATACAAAATCTAACCAGAGGAGAGCCAGCCGCCAGATATCCCCGAAAGGGATGGGTATTTTCTGCCCTTTTTATCTGGAAAAATACTTCTTCACCAACTCTTCGGCAAATTTTTTTAAAAAAAAATTAGCGAAAACCTTGGAAAAAGATACTCTCTCCGATCCATATTAAAAGCCTTTGACAAAATGGACCGAGCCTCAGCAGCGAGCATCTCTGGAGAGGAGAATGAGATGCGTCTCGAAGAACCATGAGATGATAGCTACCAAGTGCAGCTAAAAGGCACAGCAGCTGTACCCTGAGAGAGAGATGCCATCTGGGTCCTGGTGTAGAGTTAGAACAAGGGTCTAAAACAGATTCCTCTAGCAAATTCTCAAAACAAAAAAAAAATCCTTCAACAAGGCACATATTCCAGTGTGACTAGCAAGCCACAAAGAAAAAGTAAACAAACAATCATGTTCCCGCAATCAAAGATGACAAAAAGGTCTAAAGCAAATACGCTTCAGGTTCTCTTCTGTTCTTCACAAGAAAAGAAATGCACCAAAACTATTTCAAAAGAAATGCACCAAACAAATGCAATTTCCAGTGCAGGTACTCTATGTCGCCGCACTATGAAACATTAGCCACTGCGTTCCTTGTATTGTAAATTGTACTGTAGTAGTGATAATCTGAGCAGCAATCCACGTAAAGATCATGCCATCTACTTACAATTTTTTTATGGAAAATGGAGCACACCCAACTATTTCAACGGGGTGAAAAATGGATGTGAAATTTCACAGTTCGGAAGTTTCACACCAAAAGAATAAAAATTTAAAACACAAGGGAAAGTAAAACATCCAGCAAGCGGTTCAGAACTTGGACATCACGCTGCCTGAAACCGCTTCACTGGAAGGCCCTTTCCGGGTGAACCCCATCGATTTTGGAATGATGGGGGAAGTCATGTGGCATGTCTTCAGGTTTCAGACCAGCGCCTCTCAAGGTCTGGACGACCTCCTTGTGGACCAGAGCGTTTCCTTCCGGCGTCAGATGCAGTCCATCACTACGAGATGATATAAACAGTTATTTAATTGATCGATCAGAACGAAAGCATGCAGTAATGGATGCTTCTTAACAAGCTTCTGTTCATATGCACAGGTTGCAAACAGCCACTTCTGAGGTGGTCTCGAACGACTAGGCTGATTCGACAACTTTCTTGGAAAAAGTTATTGTTGAAGCTTGCCTGGTTTCCCAAGTATCAAAAAAAGATGATTAATGCACCCATGTTATGTTTAATTCCATCGTAAACGCACGATATACCAAAGCGGATGACGTTGTCTAAAATTTTGAAGTTGTCAGTATTGTAACAAAAATAGCCTTATCTTGCCTTGGTGAGAAAAAAATGCTACTGATTAAACTCAATATTATTCTAAAATAGAGAACCTAAATAAAAATAACTTAATTTTTTAAACCATATCATTCGTTCTATAAAAATTGGTAACAGGGAAAATCGAAATTTGGACAGGCATTACCTTAAGTAAAGTTTCTGCCAACCTTCAGTGGTTTGCATCTTTGACCAAAGATCAACACACTGTACATCCATTTCTTTGGCTAGTTCTATGCACTGACCTGCATAGACACCAGCCATTTCATTTGTCCTTTCTGGGAGCCTCCTCGCATCTTCTCCGTACAGTGATCTTGAGCAGAAAATGTAATGAATCAACAACAAATAGATTACATGTTATCTGTTCAGTAAAGCTTGTGGAGAGTGAAGCATGTCTGTCATTGCACATTATATGAATGACCAATAACAAGTGAATTATACTATTCCCTAACTCCATTGTTCCCACAAAAAAGGACTCCAGTATTTAGTAGCGCCAAAATACGGACAATAAAGAGATTAGGGCTGCGTTTCGTGTTCTTCACTCTCATTATTTATTTCTGCACCAACCAGTCACTAAAGTTTTTAGATGAAAGATGAATAGTTCAGGAAGAGAAGTGATGCCAACCGTGCATATCTTTCTCTTCCATCCTCATCAATAGGAGGTGGGGTGATAAGCAAAATCACCATGGACTTGGAACAATCCTGTTATTGAGATGGAATGTCAGGTTATATATAATGTGAGTTGATACTATTGGCCCAAAAAAATACTACTGAAAAACATAGCACTGCAATTGTAAATTTAGCTTAGTATGACTACTTTAACTAGGACATACATAGATCATTTTTTTAACAATGCAACACATTTAACTATATGACAGACCGAGAGACCCCGAAGTCGATGCTGCTGTAATATATCAGCAGTGATGTTTTCTATTCCTACATTACTAATTACTAGGTAAAGACACTTCGAGAAACAAACAAGTTAAAATGACCTGGTGTCATTAACTCTGCAATGCAGGTTGTATAACTTTGTATGACAGATAGCAAGCATGATGTGAATACTGCCTCTTAATCTCCCTAGACCTATTCATAAAAATCGGTACTCTGGCAACCTGTGATTCTAAGCAAATCAATCCACAGCTTCTAAGATATATACCTCTAGGCAGGCAGAGTTACAGCTAGTCTGAAACTGCTTCAAGTAAGAGTTCTGAAAGAAAATATAAGCTTTCCCCTTTTATACACTTCAAACTAGTTATGAACATTACTAATTTTTTATTCAAATTTACCTTCAGATGATTAACAATCGTTTTGAGATTCTGTTTATACTCCTCAACCGGAACATGCTGCCGCTGACTTGTTCGTCCTGGAAGCGCCGCATCATTAGCGCCAAAGAATATAGTCGTCGCAACGGGTGGCAAGCCAACCTGCATAGGGAGTATTCATTCCCACAGATCAGTGTGATGATCCCATAATTTAACACCTGAGCAGCTGGATGCAAGCCGTTGGTACCAGGGGGAAAATGCGCTGGATCAGGAACAGAGCCCATCTTGAGTTGTATCCACCATAGCCTCTGACAACAACATCGGCCTGGAACACCAGGAAAAAATCACTGGATACCGGCACGGACACACCAGGAAACGCAAGGGATTTGAGATTCGATGGGGTCTGGTTCAACCTTGCGGGAGTAGGTGTCGGCGAGGGCCGCTCCCCAACCGCCAGGGCGGAAGGACTGCTCGGTGATGGAGTCGCCGAAGAGCACCAGACGTGGCCGCAGCATGTCTTGGGATCCCGCTCCCCCTGCCAAAGCCAAAAGTGGGAGAGCTATGTGAGAGGGACTGGAGTTGGCGGGAGTGTGCGGGGTGAGGGTGGGAGAGGAATGCAGCAAACCAGCTGAAGCGTCGGTGAGGCAGATGGGAGGGTGGCCGGCAGATGGAGCCGCCGTTGTTGACGGGCAGGATCCGGGCATCGCCATCGAGGCTGAGCACCTACTTGCAGGCAGGAGTATCGAGAGGCCCCTATAATTTTATCTTTCCCCTCCTAACCTGCAAGAGGAAAAATGGCAGCTATAGTTAGAGCAGAGCAGGTGTCGTAATCACCATACAGTTTCAAAGGAGTGAGCACACAGACACAAGTTCATTCGACACAAGAGCGCCTAAATGGGGGCATACAAAGAACCGATGTGCCGGCTGACCAATTAAAGGAGATGTGTATGTAGATATAACCACACAACACAAGTTGCATCAAAGAAGAAAGGAATCACAAACATGCTTGCGATCCTACCAACCTACATACTAGACGGACGTTTGATGCAAGCAAAAGCTGAAATCGTTTTGGAGTTGCAGGTAGCAGTCGACAATATTGAATCCTGATTCATAGCTAGCAGCTAGAAGGAGAATCTTGGTCTAGTCCATTGCTGAAGGAAGGAAGGAAGGCATGGGAGAGCAAAGGAATCGAGACGCCGCTCCCCTCACCAGCTCAATGAAGAAGATCTGGGGCTCCTACTGTCGATCTAGAAGCATCTGACGTTGACGCCTAGATCCATACACGCAGAGCAAACTAGATCAGGGGATTGGAGGGTGAGGGGAAAAGAGTGGATCGGATCGAACCTGCTCTGATCAGGTCATCAGTGATTCAGTGGTCGGCCTCGCTGCGCGGGGTGGCGGAGGTCGGTGGGCCTCAGGGGGGCGTAGAGGGAGCGCCGCCGCGTTTGATTCCGCCGGCGGCGGGCCGCCTCGCTCCTGTCCTCCACGGGATGTGCGCTGAAGCTCTGCTGCTAACACAAGGCCAACCTAGCCTTTCATCTCTGCCTGCAAAGCAGATCCAACGCCCATGATTTTACAAAAGCCAAAACAGTACTACTAGAATAAACTATAGAGTATATGTTTAAAAGCCAACTGCCAATTATCGTTGAAACATTATTGGAGCAAATATTAGCATACTTTTGAAGAACACACACGAAACAAGAGTGGGTGCATGACCGTGTTTTTCTTAATCCGCTTCAAGAAATTGTATGTCAAATTGTTGATTATTCTGAGGACGGCTCCCTGAAGACATAGTGCAAACAATCAAACCGGCAAGGCTGTCGGTTCAGTTTTTTACCGGTCAGACCGTTGGTTCATCAGTTCCATTGTCAGTTTTTTAAGCAATAAATACACCAATCAATAAATAAAAAAATGTGTAATGGCATGACAGAGTAACCAAGAACTACATGTTAATATCTAATTCATATACATTATAAAGAAAATGTGTTGTTACTGCCGGTAGAGCTGGAGCGACGAGGGAGAGATGGGGTCGCCGCGCCACGGCGCAGAGCAAGGGTGGCAGGGGGCGGCGGCGCCCGATGGCTTTGTCTTTGTGGACAAAATCGAGAGTGAAAGCTCCCAGTTCACCAAAATCATACCAAAAGATGGTGTGTGTTTTAACTTTACCGACTCTACCCTCAACTTATATGCACAAAACAAGTCGACCGAGGGGATTTTCTGACATCAACATCGAACTGTTCAGTTTTATGTGAACCGCCCAGTTCACTAGTTTTTCCAAATACCGGCTGATTTGACCGGGCTTTTCCAGTTTGATTGCTCCAACAGTCCACCAAGCTTAAAAAACCGCTTGGATCATCGGTTCTGGTTTTTTCCGGTCAGAACATCGGCCCGGTCAGGTTTTTTAAACTATGCATGAAGATGGAATAAGGTTCTCCCCGCCTAGCCCTCGTTTCAATGATGCGTCTAGCACTGTCGGGGGGCGTGTGGAGATGTGTCTCCGGTGGATCTATCTTTTGTGGATCTAAGGATTTGTTCGTTGTTCGCCTATGTTCATGTGTTTTCGGGTTAGATCCTTTCGATCTACTACTCTTCATCGACGACGGTTGTTGTTCTGGTGCGCTGGTTCTATGAGATCTTAGCACGACGACTTCCCGACTGTCTACTACAACAAGTTTTGTTCGGGTTCAACGAGGGAGGGGCGATGACGGTAGGTGCCTTCGGCTCGCTTCAGTTCTTGTAGCCATCTCTACATGCTCAATGAATCTTGATGTAATTTTTATTATTTCTGATGTTTGTTATATTGTCATGATTAGAGATGAATAGACAGGAAGTTAAATTTGTTCGTCATTCTTTGATCACATGATAGTACAACAGACAGCAGTTGTGTGATGCGTTCGGGAATGGGAGATTTCGGGAAAGAAAGTGGTACTATCATGTGGGGTTACCTACGTCTGATAGTCCAATTTGGCTCGGTTGTTAATTGAGGGATCCCTTGCCCTTGCATGCCGAGACACACAACTAAGTTACAGATGGACCCATCATGTCCTCAAGACCACAATGAAGGAACCATTTGCTGACTTACTTGGTGTGTGGTTAGACATGCGTCTACAACCGTAAAGGCCAACATCAAGACCGTCTCACGTACCATCTACCCAAGCAACTACCATTTGCACCTTCTTCCAAGTTGTTCATCAATGACTTGGAGTGGGTTATTGGACCCTAACCGCATGCTCTTGACTTCCGTCATGCTTTCAACCATACTAGCAAACAGTCCGACATTCATGCCTTCAACAATGATCTTTGGTGCAGCTTGATGTGGAATGCTCTAGCATAACTTGTAGTGTAGAGAAGGGTGCGGAAGCGTGGCAGGTGTGGAGTTGATTCATTTTGGGTTCACATTCAAGTGCGCAGTTGCCCTAGGAGCTTACAAGCATGGATCGTCTAGGCGAACATACGTCCACATGGAAAAAATCAAAATTGGTTAATTAGGACATTCAATTGTGGTATTTAACTATGAATTAATGCTTTTCAGGACAATTAAAATGTCTCGTCCTTTTTGGTCACTACCTCTGCTAATACAAGGCCAACCTAGCCTTTCATCTCTGCTCCGCAAAGCAGATCAAACGGCCATAGTTTTACCAAAGCCAAAACAGTACAAGAACAAACTATAGAGTACTCCCTTTGTTCGCAAATATAAAATGTTTTGGATATTTCAATATGAACTACATATAGACTGAAATGAGTGAACAAACACGCTAAAATGTGTCTGTATATCCTCTAAACCAAAAAAGAGTCAGAACATCTTATAATATTGAACCAAGGGAGTATTATATAGAAGAAAAAACTAAAAGAATGCACACACCATTTTTTGAACAAAAAGCAAAAACTAAGGAGATCACATACAACATTTAAGGGCCAGTTCTTTTGAGGCTTACGGAAGCTTAATGCCTCGCCCACAAGGTGTTCGGGCTATTGCCTACAAGCTATGATTTGTCTTACAATCAAATTTACATTGAGATTTGACTTTCTGCACATCAAATTGAGATGTCAAATTGATTGATCCACTTTCTGTATCCTATTGCTGAGTATTTGTGAATAAGGGTTTTTATCTACTAGACAGTAAATTCTTATGATGTTTGTACATGTAAGTATTGTATGTGAACATTTCTGTTGCTGATATTGAAATGTGAGATAAAGAAACATTGTTCTATTAATGATTTTGTGATATTGGTGTCTAACACTTTGTGTGATATTCGTATGCAAGACAATGATGCTCATAATTGAGATATCATAGCAATCACTTTTATGTTCATATGTGCGACAAAACACTATAAAATAACTTCATATCATTAAATCAGAACGGAATTGAAGTCCAAAGGTATTATAGACTATTCACCAGACATATGAGAAAATAAGCTAAATGAAATAACCTAAAAAGAACTGGATGGCTTATTCTCATGGGATTATTTCCACGACCACTTCTACACACATGTCTTCTGATGTTGAAGAAAAAGTGTGTTCCCTGGTAGTGATTGAGGGTTCTCATGGCATCAATCAACATACATGTCTTGTAGATGTTGCTATGGAGGTTAGGAAGTGTCATCATCATTTGTAGTGTTTATTGGGACATTGTTTATACTCTTGCCATTATCTCTTGTTGTACCTGAGCCCCGAGAATGAACAATAATTCCCTTCTCGTAAACTAAGAAAGGTTTAGGTATATGTCTAAAAACCAACTAATGTTTATCGTTGTAACATTATTGAGGCAAATATTAGCATACTTTTGAAGAGTAGTCACGAAATAAGGGTAAGTATACATATCGTCGTGTTTGCTTTTCTAAACCACTTCCAGAATTGTATGTTAATTGCTCATCACATTTCTAATGAATGTATTATGTATTTAGTTTGCGTGTGTCTTAGCCATGTTGTATTGTTCATGATTTCAGCATATACATAGGCTATAAATTATGGACGAGTGAAAGTAATCTCGAGATCGAATCACTAACTACATATTGCACCTATCTGAACCAAATGTACGAGAGATAGACAATAATACTCTACTAAGCTCGAGCTCTCGCAACCGCGTCGCCCGGGGCGACGCGGTCGCGCATCGCCGCCTCCCTCCTCCAGTCCCCACATCTCCCCTTCCTCATGCCGCCGACGCTGGCGCCCGCGGCCGCCCTGGCCCCGGGGTCGCTGGTGGCGGCGGCCCCCTGACCTTACCCTCCCGGTGGTTCTCCGGCGCGGGGCAGAGCTGCACCGGGGGTGCTCCTAGGCGACGACGGACGGGGTGGCGACGGGGTTCCCTGGCGCGTCGCGGGCGGGCGGCGGCGTCGTTGGCGGCAGGGCGGCGCAACGGTGGGTCCTGGCGGCGGTGCTCGGCCCCGATCTGGGCCCTACGGGCCCCATCTGGGCCTAGGCGGGCCGGCGGCGGGGCTGATCCGTGGCGAGTCTTCCGGGAGGCGGGGGAACAGCGCTGAGCGGCGAGGTGCTGGCGGCGCCGGCGCCAGCCTGCTGCAGCATGGCCGGCGAGGCTTAGCGGGCCCGTTGCGGGCCTGGCCGGGCCAGGGGTGGCCTGGTTTGCCCCGCTGCCGTGTCCGGACGGTAACTGCGACTGTGCCGGAGGCGCGGGCCTCTCGCACGACGGCGGAGGAGGTGGTTCCCTCCCGCTCGGCCTTGGTGTTGTTGCTCCTGTCGCTTGGCTCTTCTC